CTTTATCGGTTTGTGCTATGGGAAGCAGGAGGTGGTTAGTTGAAATCAAGCAATCTTGCTCACCATTTAACCATGTCCGTCTATGACTTCTCCTTGCATATCAAATGACATCTTCGCATAAAAATTGTTAACCTACAGAACCCGAGAAGTGTGGCTCCGTGATTTGCCATGAAAAAGCCAGATGTCATGATGGACAGTGTTTCTGTGAATACGGATACGTCGGCGACGGAGTTACACTTTGCGTACGCAGAGAGGATGGTAAGAATTTCTTCATCACCATTTTCCTTCCCGGTGAAAGGAAGATTGGCCTTATATTTAGAATAAAATTGTTTCCGTTATCAAAAATTCGACATGACATGTTTTAAACTGACACAGTTGCCGAATGTAGGTTACACATAAACGGTAAGAGCAGCCAAGCTGCTAAGAATTCGTTTACCTCAATAAGTTATTTTTCAGCGAACAGTTTACTACAAACAAAATTTTTTTACCAATCTCATCATCCAGCTTAAGTTGAAGTCTTCGTTGAAACAAATGAATCATTTTATCACTTTATTTGGTGAGATAAAGGAGATCTTTCTCCAGTTTTGATGCCGGTGGGGTCACCTGTAAGACAGCCATTGCTACCTACGGTAATTAGTTTTACTATAAAGTTTGGGGTCTGCTTTCTTCGGAGCCTTTTTCGTTATTAGAAATCTAATTTTACCGCCGTATTTTGTTCAATCATTTAAAATCCCATAACACGTTGAACATATGAAGTTCGGTTGTGGTTTTACGAAAATATTGCCGAAATAGCTCCCGCTACATCAAAATACAGAGAAGCCGAAAATCTGCACCACTTTACGGCGAACAGATTTTGTAACTGTTTCAATGGTACATTTATTTGCACACACAGGCGCCTGGAATTTGGTGGCCGGAATTGCCACCAATAACTTTCCCTTACTGCTTGAGAGCCGTTGGCTCTTCGTATGGATTTATCCAGCAAGGCGCCGGATAGTTTTATTTGGGACTTTTCCCCTTAAAAAAGCAATAACACTTGCCGACATTAAAATTATCACATATTGTTATGCATTTCCTCTTAGAAACTTTGTTTGTTTTTCCAATGACTTCCTGATTTTCATCGAATTCTTATTTCTGGTCGTCTATAAGTTAGTTATAAAGGGGTTGCCCTACGTTGACCTAGCCAAACAATTCCTGCCATGCGAGGACGCATAGCTGTATCTTGTTCGAGCTTTTCCTCCAAAATGGCAATTAAACACTTTAAAAATGGGAATGGAGTTAGACGGGAACTAACCAGCAGTTCGGCTCTTTATCTTATTACGGATATGAAGACATTTCTAACCCCAACCGTCCTACGAACCCTAGGCTTTCCTGGAGTGTAGCGCAAGGCGAAACGTAATACCGAAGTTAGGGTTCTTAAACCGCGCCTTACCAGGTGTTCGTGTAATATACGTCTTTGGAGGAAGGCACTCGGAGCTGTAATCATGACTAGGGCACATATTTACAGTTGAAATTGGTTCCCAAACATTCCGATTTGGTATTTCATTGGCTGGCAACTAGTATGTCTTTATCTTGATTTTTTAACCGTCCTCCAGATCTTTGCAAACGTGTTACCTGTGCTGAAAACGCTGTCTGTGATGCGGGACTATGTCAATGCTTACCTGGCTACACCGGTGACGGATTTAGCAAGTGCGTGGAGGCTCCAGTTGATCCAGGTAAGTAACTAGCATAAGCATACTTATGCGCATTTACCCCCACAGGTAAATATAGCAGTTCCGTTTAACTCTAAGACTTTGCTGATTGCTTTTACCATAGTGGACCAAATTGTATTCTTTAAATGTTAGCCAAGACTACGTATGGTCTCAGGGGCTAATTATTCGATATTTTTTAAAAGTTGTCTGCCAAGTGTCCATATGATGCCTTGTCATGGAGCTAAGACCACAGAAGTATTTCGGAGGCCTTTTTGTATGACATTAAGAAAAATTTGACCGCACCATTGGTGAATATGGCTTAACACACGAGCGCAGTTAGTGGATTTGACTCCTTCGTGTTTCTTTATGAAGGTTATAGGTATTTTTTGAACTTTTCTCCCCATCTTTTGCTTCGGATAAAAACTTATATTTACTTGTCTTCAATGTAACCGTCAGTAGTAAGTTGGAAATCTGTAGCTTCAGAGCATTGCAGGTGGGTTTAGAATTTAACTGACTTGTCAAAGTTTGTCCCCTTTTCTTCATCCAACCGAACTGCTGTCCATTAATCAGAAGATATGAATAGAGAAGAAGACGACTCGATCGCTGGGACAATACTTTTATTCGCCTGACGTTTCGACATCCGTCACGGATTCATCATTAGAGACAGTAGCAGAAAACAGTAGCACCCGTAGGCAGTAGACCCGTTTCTGCTACTGTTTTCTGCTAGTGTCTGATGATGAATCCGCGACGGATGTCGAAACGTCAGGCGAATAGAAGTATTGTCCCAGCAATCGAGTCGTCTTCTCCTCAATTACTTCCTGGAGCTCGTATGTATGTTTGTATTGGCGGATATGAATAGTAGGGAAAATGCGAGTTCCAGTTGGCAAATCAGAAGGGAGAAGAACGTCCACTGGAACGTGTGTATTAGATTTCTGACGTTTGGGATGGTTGTGTCGACCGTCGGTCTTCAGAGACTGGACATTCAGGCTCCTGTCATATGCTGCTGTTTTCCGTGTGCTGAGCCTGTCAGTACCGCTGCGTATGCCTCGCGTCTCACTGTCATTGCCGCGCCCCCTCCG